TAGGAGGCCTTGGCCCAGAACCCGACCGATTTGCTGGCTGGAAGACCTGATTTTGGTCGGTTGGCCTCGCTTCCTTTAAGTTCTCAGAGCGTGCTGGAATAGCGTCCCCGGGAAGCCGAGGCTAAGGGACACCAAACTGGCTAGAAAAGTGCAATTTTGGGGTCGGTGAGTGGAAGGCTATCAAGGGAGAAGGCGACTGTGGTCTGAACGAGAGGTTTCCTGATGGGACGCCCTCAGATACGGCGTCTATTTCTTCCCTGGCCAAACGCGCTACAATTATTCCTGAGCAATGGCGACCAAACTGGGCTAAGGGCAAGTGGAAGGATGGCGACTGGAGCGGCGTTCTCTCTCTCTGCTCCCCCCCTCACCCCCCGCACCCTGCTGCACTCCTGAAAGAGATAAAAGGGATTGTGTGTTTGGAGACACTCAGACAGTTTGTATAGTTGGAGAAATGAGAGGCCGGCTTTGGCGGCGCAATGTGGTCAAGATACGAGCGGAACATCTAACGCGATTAGCTTTCTTAACATTACATTTTTCGAGGCGCGGGCTAAGAGCTCCTCGGCGCCAGGAGGGTGAAATCTGCGCAGGAAACCAGAGTCGAGGATCATTTGCCTCCACCAAAATATCTCCCATTCCCTCCCGGGTAGGGTGAAGCTGGGGGGGCAGAGGGGGAAGACACACGCACGGACACACAATTTAGGATAGACTTAAATTGTTCCTGTTTCCAAAGGCCTGAACGTTGCAGGGCCAGTGTCTGAACGACCTAGAAAACCCAGGGTACAGAGGATTCATTTTGAACCCGTGTCACTCACACATACACACACACACCGTCCTTTGCACTGCATCCTATCTCGGTGCCTATCTGGATCTTTTTCTCCATTGAAGTCAATGGTCCAACAAGGGAAGGAAGCATGTGGAGTAAGGCATTTCTCCAATCTCTGGCATAATTCTTGGGGTTCTAATCCAATTCGTTTTACAGCTTTGAAAGAGGGATGGGGGCGATCCCTGGGTTGATGGCTGGTTTCTGTCCGATCTAAGACAGTTGGTTCCCCCTCCCAAAAATCGTTCTCAACCCTAAACGCTTTTCTAAAAGGGACGTCTCCTTCGAAGACGGCTGGATTCCTAGTGACTGCAAGGTTCCTGCGATTTTCTTGGCTGCAGTAGAAAATGGTTTATCACGGAGTTCTTCTGGGGTATTTTTCGATCTCCTAGTCTGGAGCGATTTCCAAAGGGTCTTCCATCTAAGAACTAAGTTTGTGCTGCCTGGAGTCCACACTTCCAAGCTAGAGGAATGTGGTATTGTGTGAAGATGGAGCAGGTGGGTCCGGATATAGATTTGGAGATTTTGTATGTTTAAACCAGAGAGGTTGTTCGCTCCTTATATCGTGCCTTCTGAATCAGCTGTGAAGATCTAAGCGGTCTCCCTCCCTCTCTTTTTCCTCCTCTTCTTCTCTATCGTGCCTTCTGAATCAGCTGCGAAGATCTAAGCGGTCTCCCTCCCTCTCTTTTTCCTCCTCTTCTTCTCTATCGTGCCTTCTGAATCAGCTGTGAAGATCTAAGCGGTCTCCCTCCCTCTCTTTTTC